TTCCATAAGGGTCTTACAGTCCTGACGTGCTAAGATTCTACCATCAACCCATCCCAGACAAGTGCTGTTAGTTGCCCTGGTAAGAGATCTCAAAGATTGAATATAGATTAAAACTGATAACATTTATTGAGTACGCCCAGTGTGCTGGGCACCGTTTTAAGTACTTCTTATGTACTAAGTCATTTAAGCCTCAGATCAGCCCCATGACATAGGTTCTATTATCATCCCCATTTTACCTATGAGAAAACTGAGGCACAGAGAGTTTAGAGAACCTGTCCAAGGTCACACAGCCAGGAAGATCCATGCTATGTAGTGCTTATATTTCCAAGTATATTATAAGCAACATTCCCATATCTCAATGTGCGCAGAAGGCAGGCACCACTGCCCCCATATGTAGATAAGGTTACTGAGGTGCTCAGGTGCCAGGAAGACACAGCTGTCAAGTGGCAGAATCAGAGCCAGCAAAGATGACTTCCTCATTTCCATGCTGGGAAATTATGCCCAGCAAGGGGCATAGAATTCACAGAAAAAGAAATTCACATGTCAAAAAAGGGAAAAAGGGTTTAAGTTCACTAGTATTCAGCTAAATGCAAAGTAAAGAGCAAAATAATAATTATTATTATTTTGCCTATCTAATAGCCAAAAAACTTTTTGTAATAGCCCCATGCATTGGCAAGGGTCCGCTGAATGGAGATTCTTATATATCAATGTAAGAAGTGTAATTGGAACAGTTCTGGAGGGAAATTTAACAAAAGATGCCTACTCTCCGACTTAGAAATGTCATTTCTTGGGACTTATCCTAAAATATCCATAAATATGCATAAACATTTAGCTACAAAATGTTCACCACAGTGCTATTTATATGATCAAAAACATAGGGCTGTCCAGTTAGCTCACTTGGTTAGAGTGCAGTGCTGATAACACCAAGGTCAAGGTTTGGATCCCTGTACTGGCCAGCCACCAAAAACAAAACGAAACAAACAAACAAATATCAAAAACAATTTAATGACCCCAGCATGAGATTGGGTAAACAAATTGTGGTTCGATATCCAATGTAATGCAGCTACTAAATGGCAGTCTATGATATTTAATGGCATAGAATGATGTTCGTGATATACTTATAAATGAACAAAGTAAGTATCCAAACTATTTGTATATATGATTTCATTTTCAAGAAGAAAGTATGTAACAGATAAAAGACTGAAACACATGATCTAAAATATTAACAGCAATTCTCTCTGGGTGGTGGAATTGTAGATGATTTTAATTTTCTTACTTTACTTCTCTGTATTTCCTAAATTTTCTGTAAGAAGTATGTATTACATTCGCAATCAGGAAGCAAAAACAGTCAGTATTATTTTTAAAAGAAAGGAAAAGAAAGAAGGCAGCCAGAGGCAGGATCCTGGAAGTCCTCAGAAATGCCTTGCTGAGGAGAGGAATAATGTCCAGTGGACACATATAGGTGTCTAAGGTGCTCGAGGCGGCAGGTGTGAGGCTGATTGGAGCACCTGGACTTTTTGGCCCAGCTTGGCCAGGGTGACTGGGACACAACAACATTGCTCTACTCGTGAATAGGTAGCTAGACACACCTGAGAGCTGAAAACCTGCCAAGTCAACACCTCCGTCCACTCCCCACCCACGCACCTCCTTACCCACCCCCTTGGGACTTATCCTAAAATATCCATAAATGTGCATAAAGATTTAGCTACAAAATGATCATCACAGTGCTATTTATATGATCAAAAACATAGGGCTGTCCAGTTAGCTCACTTGGTTAGAGTGCAGTGCTGATAACACCAAGGTCAAGGTTTGGATCCCTGTACTGGCCAGCCACCAAAAACAAAACGAAACAAACAAACAAATATCAAAAACAATTTAATGACCCCAGCATGAGATTGGGTAAACAAATTGTGGTTCGATATCCAATGTAATGCAGCTACTAAATGGCAGTCTATGATATTTAATGGCATAGAATGATGTTCGTGATATACTTATAAATGAACAAAGTAAGTATCCAAACTATTTGTATATATGATTTCATTTTCAAGAAGAAAGTATGTAACAGATAAAAGACTGAAACACATGATCTAAAATATTAACAGCAATTCTCTCTGGGTGGTGGAATTGTAGATCATTTTAATTTTCTTACCTTTACTTCTCTGTATTTCCTAAATTTTCTGTAAGAAGTATGTATTACATTCGCAATCAGGAAGCAAAAACAGTCAGTATTATTTTTAAAAGAAAGGAAAAGAAAGAAGGCAGCCAGAGGCAGGATCCTGGAAGTCCTCAGAAATGCCTTGCTGAGGAGAGGAATAATGTCCAGTGGACACATATAGGTGTCTAAGGTGCTCGAGGGGGCAGGTGTGAGGCTGATTGGAGCACCTGGACTTTTTGGCCCAGCTTGGCCAGGGTGACTGGGACACAACAACATTGCTCTACTCGTGAATAGGTAGCTAGACACACCTGAGAGCTGAAAACCTGCCAAGTCAACACCTCCGTCCACTCCCCACCCACGCACCTCCTTACCCACCCCACTCCCCAGCCATGTCAAGGCTCAAGAGAGGAGAGGAAATAGGACATTACTTCTAATCTAACCCACCTGCTCAACTGCTCCTTTTTTCCCAAAGCACTTATATTTTAACGTATTACATCCTTTGTTTATTAACTTGCATATTGTTTATTGCTTGTCTTCCCCAGCTAGAATGCAAGCTCCATGAAGGTAGTGATTTTGGTTTTTTCCACTAATAAATCCCAAGAACCTAGAACATGCCTGGCACACTGTAGCTGCAAAATAAATACGTGGTGAATAAAAGACTCTAGAATGCTGTGAGAGTTCTGGAATGTGGTCAAGTTTCTATGATGTTTTTAAGGATTCCAGAACAAAGTGTAAGCCAATCAGGGGGTTACCTTCACTCCTTCCTGTATCATTTTGAGGCGAAAAACCATGGAAAGGTGCCAAAGCCAGCCCCACCAGCTTACATAGGAGGGTAAGACGTGGTGTTCTTTACGAAGCTCCATGGTTCTGCAGGCTGCGGTGGAGTGAACCTCAGGGGTCCAAGAGGCGGCTTGGCAAAAGGGATTCCCAGGAAGACGGCCACAGGCTGTGCAAATCCTTCTAAGCTGACGTGCTTCCCCAAGACTTTGCCATGAACGGTGTCCACCACAGGTGGCGAGGATGGATGACCTGATGGACATTGAGAGGAAATAAGGACACAACAGAGGTGAAAGGTTTGACCTGGATTCCAGGTGGGTTTACCCGCTTTCTAGGCATGTGACCTCAAATAAGTCACCTAACCTCTCTAGACCTCAGTTTACATAAGATATAAAGAAAGGGATGAGTTTTACTGTCCTTTCTAACTCACAGGGCTGTTTTAAGGAGCAAATTGGAGTTGAAGGCATAAAAGCATCCAGTCAAAAGGAACAAAAGAACTGCTAGGAACGAACAAGACATTTAGCTTCCCTCTTAGAAGCCTCTGGAAACGTGTTCATTAGGATTCTGGCACTGAGCTGCTGGATGAGAAGATGACCAAGAGGTGGCCCCTGTTCTCATGGCACTGAACCTCGTCGGGAGAATGAGCCACATGCATACTTGACCCTAATGTGGGAAGAAAGCGGCCATGTCCTGGGAGAGGTACCAGTAAGGTGCTACAAGAGTTAGAATTAGAAGAGGGAGAGAGGCCTTCTGAATGGTGGCATCGGGGAGGAGCTGGGACTTGCAAGGGGAGGGGTATTGAATAAGGGGAGATGGAAGAGGCGGGTATAAAGCAGAGAGAAGAGGATGTGCCCAGGCTCGGAGACAGCTGCACCACGGTATTAAACACACATTCTATTTTCTGTATTCTGATGCTTTGACATTGGAGGCCTCGCCGACCCACAAGGGCCTGCCTGGGGAAGGGCGAGTGGCCTGTCTGCACCAGATGCAGTCTATGGAGAGAGGAAATTAATCCTAGAATGAGAGGATGCAGGGTGGGGCGGGACTCAAACGCCAGGCTAACTGCTTGGGTTTGAGTTAGTAGATAAATAAGCACCCAGAACAGTTGTGCAGCAAGGGACAGGATAAACTTGAGGAATATTCTTCTGCTGGCTCTGAGCAGGGTCATCCAGAGAAGAGAGGGAGAAACTGGGAGTCAGATCCCTGTCCGCTCCATTCTTGTGGAGCTGACAATTCTTCCTCACTGAGCTGAGATTCATATCCCTGCAGCTTCTGCACCAGTCCTGGTTCACCTTCCATGGGACTGTGCTGAGCTCATCTGATCTCCTCTGATGCAGCAGGTGGCCTTTCAGACACTTGATCATGCCCAACTCTCAAGTCTCTTGCCTGGCCTCAGTAACCTCCATTTGTCAAGCATCCCCCATGAGAAATGATTGCTAGCCTCTCATCCTCCCAATTGCTTCCCTTTGGATAAAAACAAAATGTGAACATCTCCCTCAAAATGTGTGGCCGGAACAGAAAAGAATAATCAGG